TGGTTATACTCCCACAGCAGTGTGTCATAGTGAGCTTGTTGCAGCTATGACACAGATATTTTTGATTTATGCTCATATTGAAGCGTAGTTTGCGCTATGTTTATTCAACACCAAAGCGCAAAAGGGGAAAATCACGAACTAGCTGTGGGTCTAGATACGGCTGAGGTAGTGAGAAGGTGGGCGCAAGTTTGAGGAGTGACATGGGGCGAAAAAGGGGCAGGATCCAGGTGGAAAAAGGGTCCCAGTGTTCTCGCGCTCCTCGCTCTTCTAGCTGGTCCAACTTCACGAGTCTTTTTCCACAATGGCTGTCATACAAACAAAATAAGCCGGTAAAGCCTGGTACCAAACAGGAGACGCAAAGTGTAGAGCAGATGTGGATTTGACCAGTCAGAGGCCTCCTGTGTGCGGTCACCTACAATTTGGGAGAGAAGAAGTGATTTAAAAAAAGACACTCTAAATCTGCTTAAAACAAAAAGATATGAATACCCTACAATGGTGATGTAAACAAATAATCAACTTTAGACTAATTGTCAGTAGACGATTTATTAGATCAAAGTCATCCTTTGTCTCTAGATGTACAAAAATGGTAGAGATGTTCTCCAAAGCTTTGAATGAACTGGGTTGAACTGACATCTCCAGACCTTTTTTTTTCCAGCTTTGTAAACTGCGTATTCCCTCCTTTTCACACTGTTCTGTCACATGAAGTGATAATAAAATACGTAAAATTTTGTGGCTGTAATTTGAAAAATGGGGGAAACTTATAGTGCAAACGTAAATGAAGAACGAGATGCTAACTCCAAAACACGCAATCACAGTAGCAAATGCAACAGGAAAATGCTGTTGGCAAAAAATGCTGCAACCACTGAAATAGCAAAAGCCTACATTTAACAGAACAAAGGCAAACAAAAAATGCTGCAAGAAAAAACAAAAGGCTCATTTCTTTTTATTTGCAGTTTTCTGTTGCGTTTGTGTTTTTCTTGTTTTTTTTTCTGTTGGATGAATACTTTTGTTTGACACAGCAGCTCTGGGAGACAAACTGTCGGAATAATAAAACGTGGACAAGATGATCATAAACTTATGTCAGACTCTTTAAACCAATCCTGTTTTTAACTGAGGAACTTAATAAATGGCTTGTTTCTTATATTTAATTGATGAAGTAATACGAATAGAGCAGTCAGTTCAACCCCGTCCTGCAAACACAAAAGTTTTATGCTGTTTTTATCCTTCAGTTCTCCTCTAAGCATCCTGTACCATCGCCACGGCGCCTCAGTATCCATGTCTCCTTCATTTGTCTCTCTTCCTGTTTCTCTGCAGCAAATACTGGCCTCTGTTCCTCCTCTTCTTCTACATCCTCTCCCCTATCCCTTACTGCATTTCGCGGCGGGTAGTTGATGACACAGACTCTGCCAGTAACGCCTGCAAAGAGCTGGCCATCTTCCTCACGACGGGCATCGTCATCTCTGCCTTCGGCCTGCCCATTGTCTTCGCGAGAGCTCAAGTGGTGAGTCATGGCTACTTGGTTCTTATTGTTTGTGTTGTTTCCGGCTAAATGTTAGTGCTAGCTGCTCCTGCAGGTTTGAACTCCTTTGATCTTAATTCTGGATGCCCTGGTTTACAGATCGCCTGGGGGGCGTGTGCGCTCGTGCTAACAGGTAACGTAGTCATCTTCGGGACCATCCTCGGTTTCTTCCTGGTCTTCGGATCCAACGACGACTTCAGTTGGCAGCAGTGGTAAAACGTCCAAGTGAGGGGGGGTGGGGGGGTGATCTTAGGCTGAACTGTTTTTATTAGCATTATAATTATTATTATTATTATTATAGTATTACTGTTTGGTTGTTGTTGTTATTTATATGATGACCACCCATCCATAGACTTACATCAAACCAGTGCAATACTTTTATTTTCTCGCCTGCTTTATGTTGAACTGACACAACAAAGATGGAAAATGCTAACTTATAGTTTTATTTTTTATTTTATATTAGTTTTCTTCGGTCTATTACTTTTGTACTGTGATTTTTCTCCATGTGTGCGTCGACATTGTCACCATTGGAGCTATGGTCTGAATAAGAAGGAGCAACATGGCAAGTTGTCATTGCTATTAAAGGGTTACTTTCTGCTGAAACACTGCAGGTTTTTGACATCTTATGTAAATGTTAAGTGACTCACATTAAGCTTCAAAACTTGGTAAGAAAGAGTATACATTGTCTTTTTCTTTTCAGTTTTGTTCAGACTTTTACCTTTACGATCAAATCTACTTCATTTGGCTCAGACACCAGAGAAAAAAACCATCAACACTTTAGCTTGTTATCATGGGACAATAATAATTATATAGTGACAGCAGGGGAAATATGCTGCAAAAAGGCTGTTTTGTGTGAGAAACTGCTTTTTAAAAGGACCTATCGGCTAAGAAAATCATCAAAGAGATTGATTATGACTTAATGTTTCATACTTTCAAGATTTGCATTTGCTCTGGTTATACTCTATGAGATTGATCTCCACTAACGTTAGAAGGCGTGGAAGCAGAAGCCGGCAGTAACAGTAGGATTAGCTGTATGATGGCCGCCCTGTCAGGGAGCCAAGGTACCACATAAACCTGCCTACTTAGAACCAGGCCCTGTTGGTCACTAATAACTTAACAGTGTGACTCCTTCATAGTAAATAAATCCACTCACTGAACCTGCCTTGGGGATTATTAAGAATACTTCCGTCTCACTTGGCACACACAATGCTTTAATTTAGGAGATAATCTCTGGGGATTGTTTGCTCCTGGATTCCCTGAATGAGAAGAGAACAGTCTAATCTGGATCTGGGGGCAGTTAAAAGTGCTTTAGGCCCCAAACAAAGAATTACACCACAGTCTCAGCTCAGCTCTGCTCCTGAGGGTGAGTTCAAGATCTAGATATAATTTGATTTCCTTTATTACAGTAGAAACTCTTTATTAATCATTTATTTACATTTTCACATTTATTGTTTTGGCCCAGATTTCAAACTCCCTGTGAATTCAGCGGTATTTATACGATATATTTACCCTCAAATTGAAAAGAGCAACTCTTACTCTGGCCCAGGGGGGCAAACATGCTACATACATGAGCACCAAATACTGAAACTACAGCGAACATAATAATGAGGCGAACACACAAAAAACATGCGAAGGGAAAATGCTGCAATGACAGAAAACAGCAGCTGAAGGGAAAACGCACTGCAAACAAACTCTGTCGTAAACAGAGAAATGATGCAAACACACAAAACATGTTAAGGGAAAATGCTGCAAGTAGCAAACATTTCTGCAAGTTAAGAAAAGCTGCAGATCTGTTCCAGTCCATTAGGGGGAGACGGTCATCATGTGCATGGATCAGGGCTCACAGCAATAAACAGGATGCCTGCTCTGGTGCATTTGGAACAAAGAGAGAAACGGTACATTTTCATGTGAAGCTCTATAAACAATCTCCCTGAGTCTCCCTGAGCTTAAAGATTTGGTCCCCTATGAGTTAAGGAATGTCTCCCCCTAGTGGTCTGGGGCGCCTCAATTATCCATAAGCTTGTTTGCAGCGCTTTTTAACATGCAGTTGTTTTTGCCACTTACAGTATTTTCTTTTTGCATGTGTTTTGTGTATTTGTACGCTATCATAATTTTTGTTTGCAGTGCATTTATCTTTTTTTTTGCTGTAGGTTTACTGCCCTCTAATTTTTGTGTTGCAGCCTTTTTCCTTTGCTTGTGTTTTTTTGCTCATATAAATTGTTTGCAAGTCTTGAAAGGACATTTTCTCTGTTCACATAGAGAACACATAGGAATTTAAATGACCTCTTATTATGTTTACATAATAATCTTAGCTGAATCATTTTCACTGACTCTCTTTAGGGGTTTATTTGCTTACTAATAAAGACAGGGTAACAATTTTCCTCTTTTCATGAAAAAATTCTCAGCGTGTGAAGATAAATGTTTGATCATTCAGTTATGATAAACACTACCAGCAAAGCCACTTAGCTTATAATAATGGACAATAAAAGAACATTAGTTTCATTTATACTGTATTTGTTCCCGACAGTTCCAACTTTCTTTGTTTAGGGTAACTGAACTGCCAGTTCTGAGTTTCCTGCAAGAACTATACATAGTAAAATTTATATGTAAAGATGAACATTTATTAATAAAAGAAACTGATGCCAGAAGTAAAAAAAAAAAGTGTTGCAGGTGTATTGATATCCCTTTTTAAGTAAACGTCCCAAACATCTGTGAGATATTTCTATTAAACTATGTGTTAAATGCATTTTAAAAAGCGACAGTTACCAGTTCTCATGCATTCAATAACCAGGGTAATATTTCATGTTCCAACTGATGATCACAGGAACAATTTACCCGTTTCAGTCAATGGCCAATACAATTTTGCATGATGGATTTCAAATTCATGAAAAAAAAATTATTGAATAAAATATGAAGCTTCTCTTTTTAAGCCTTGCAGAAAATAAAAATGTTTTGATCTGTTCATATGTCTGAAGTTATTAAACATATTAAAGGCCTCACAGTGACACTTTGCTCTTTGGTTGAAACAAGTCTCTTTTGGGCAACCCTCCAGAGGTGGGAACATCTGGCATGGCTACTGTTTCAGTTTTAAGCTGAATAAGTGAAATGTTCTCAGATTTCGATGTTTCTGGGTCTGCTGTAATTCCCTTGGATGTGACAGAGGCTGATGTGTAACTATGGGATGGATTTCTCTCTATGTTTTTGTTTTTATTGTCTGTTTCTGTTGTTCATGATGAGAATATGCTGTATTAATTTATTTTGTTGGGTCTACGCTTTGTTCCTTTTTTTTATGGACGTTTGTGTTGAAGGAACAGCAGTCGGCATGGTGGTTTCTTCTTTGATTTCTGTTTTATTTTTAATAAATGCCATTTTTGAACATTCTCTCTGTTGAATGACTCCTGATGCCTCCTGACTTCCCATTAGATAAGTACTGCTTTGTGTTGGTATATTACAGAGAATCAGAGGAAACAATCATTACAGAATCAAAAAATACTTTGATAGAAACCTTGCTTCTTTCTCAGATATAATTTTTTAACATTTCAGATTGAGGTTTATGAATTTAATTTTTTAATCGTTTTTTACAGATTGTGATCTTTTCTCTTCTCGCTCGGCCTTTTCTCTTTCCTTTCGGAGCAAAGATGCATTTTATCACTCTTAAAAGATTTTAGAAATTATTAGAAAAGAGCAAACAATTATCTGACTTGAAGTGAAGAGAAGGTGAACTGTAAAAAACGTAATTTTGAGAGATTGCAATTTGTAAAATTCTGAAAAATAAAATGTGAAAAACAAGAATTTTGAAATATGGAATCTGTTACAAAAAAAAACAACAACTTTATTCTCAAAACCTTTTTTGATTTAAAAGTTTCATTTCTGGTTAGCAGTTTTTCAAACTTCCATTTATATAAGTATTTTAATAACAACAAATTCCACTCTATAATAACCAATCTGAAATGAAATGTGATTAGTTTGCTGACGTAGTTATAGATTTTGCCTTGCAGGAAGTGTTGATGTTCTGCTAAACGCTGATATAGTTACATTTTACATAATTAAAATGCATCGGGAAATAGATTTTAATGTTCTGCCGTTTCATTGAAGCAGATAATATTAACAAGTCTTTATTAGCAAGTGCAACTCGTTAAACAACACAACCATTTGCATTCACTATGTTGGAGCAGGAAACAAAGTGTTAGTCACCACTAAACCTCAGACTCTAAAACATGTAAAAGAAATATTTATATTTATGAAACAGGATTAGGTAAAGTAAGTTTTAAGAATAAAGGGGCTCTTAATGCAAAGCTTATAAATACCCTAAAACAAGCCAAAGCGGGATCGCAAAAAGGTTATTCCAAAATTTGGAGGTATATGGAGGGCCGTAATATGTCATGAAATAAATAAATGTCCCATCAAATAATAATATACCATGAAAAATGTGGACTTATCATTCATTCATTTATTATCTAATACATTATTTAAACAATATATATTCTATTAGGTTGTAAAATGCACAATTAAATAATGAAAAGGCATTTAAACTTGGGAAATGAATGCCATTAAAATCAATTCAATAATAAATAGAATTAATTCACATTGTATGTATGAATAAACATAACGTCTGTTGCATTGTTTTTTTTTTTTTTTTTTGGATCACAGGCTAAAATGTTTGGGAATGCCTTCCCTAAGATGTTATTGAAATAAAACTGATAACTTAAATGTTTTCCTTTACATGAGCTTTGCCTCCATCTGCTGGTAGAAAGTAGGAAGTACAACAGGCATTCAAGAGTTTTTAATTCAGTATAATTGGCATTTTCCAGACACGTTAAATTTCTAAGTTATTCAAATTTCGTTAGTTGGTTAAAATTAATTGCAAAAAAGATAAATCTTTTGTAAGAAACCAAAGCTTAAAACTGAAATAGTGAAATTCTTGTGTTGGAAGATTTGACTTCAAAAAGCAGCTTTCGCTGTAGAATTCAGTCTGTCTGCAAAGATATAGATTTATGCAGTTTTATTTATAATTATAGACGCATAAATGATCTTATACAATTTGTTGAATTCATAAAAGCAAATAGGAAGGTTAAGTGATTGACATTTTGTTGGTTATTTGGCACAGGAGTACCTGGAGAGAACCCAAGTGTGCTTTGGGAGAACATTCAAAGACCCAGCAGAAAGACCTGAGGGCCTTTTTACTGTAATGCAACAGTGCTACAAACTGCACCTCTTTTCAGTCACTCTTTTTATACAATGTTTTAACATTTCAAAACAGAGCCAGGTCCATAAATATTGGGACATCGACTCAGCCTTGATACATTTAAAATGAAATGACAGAGAAATGCTTAAATCCCAGACTTTATGTTTTAATTTGAACATATTTACATCCAAATCAGGTAAACTGTAGAAATTACAACAGTTAGAATATTTGCTTAACACTCTAAAGGACGAACAGTAAATGGCTGCTTCCCTCGTTGTTCCAGTTATAAGCAGCAGATCAAATGTCCAGGCTTTATTTCAAGTGCGGTGTTTGTTGTTTGTTTAACATGAGAAGATCTACAGTCCTAGTTTTTATTCCACTCCGTTAATGAACTCTGATTTGGTTTTGCTTCAATATCCTTTGAAAGCTGTTTCCTTCCTCTCAACTTTCCACTGATATGCTCGGGTTCATCGCTCTGAACATGCATATCATTACCCTCCATAAGAAATATATCTGCTAGGGAAAGTTTTCCCATAATCGACTGGGATATATATGAGCCAAAAACACAACCTCTATTAAAAACATTTCCTTAATGGTTCTTGCACAGTATTCTATTTTCTAAGAATCTGAATTAGGTGTTTTTATCATAGTTATAAAAAGGATAACTGCAGAATGCCGGCATGAGAATCAGCTCCTCCAAGTCAGAGGCCATGGTTCTGGAAAAAGGTGCCTCCTCCTCTTCAGGTTGGAGGAGAAGTCCTGCCTTGAAAGGAGTTCAGGTATCTGGGGTCCCGCTCCTGAGTAAGGGGAGATCGACAGACAGATCAGTTTCTATGATAAGGATGCTGAAGTGGTCTGTTGTTGTGGAAGGAGAGCTTAGCTGTTGGTCTGTTTCTACCCTCACATATGGTCATGAAATCTGGAGCATAACTAATGGAATGAGATCCTGGATACAAGTGGCTGAAATGAGCTTCGTCTGCAGGGTGGCTTGGCTGACCCTTAGAGATAAGGTGAGGAGCTCGGTCACTGGGAGAGGCTCAGAGTAGAACTGATTCTCATTCACATTGACAGGAGTCAGTGGAAGAGGCTGGGACATCTGCTTGTGTTCAGACACATCCTACCGGGAGGAGGTCCAGGACACACTGGAGGGACTATGTAACTCATCCTGCCCTGGAACGCTTGAGACTTTCCTTAGCAGAGATGGACAAGGTGTCTGGGGAGACTGCTGCTGGAAAAGTTGAAGACAAGAACAAATAAGATAACTTCCTGAAGAATAAATTTTTGTGTCATGCCAGTTCTCATTACCGTTCATCTGATCCACCTGCTTCAGCCTCTATTTAATCAGCATTCAACTACTATCACTGCCAGACTATTCAAGCCTTTGGTGAGAGTGTTTCTGATTGCGTGATCCCGACCCGTTCTGCCTCCGGACCTCTGGGCCTCCATGTCCTGCTCTGATCTGTTTGCCTGACCTGTCCTTGGACTCCTGCTGGATTCTACCTGTATACTGAACCTGGAACTGATTCCTGACACAGTCCTGAATTTCTCTACGGCACCTCTTTGGATCTTCGGTTTCAATTTATATATATATATATATATATATATATATATATATATATATATATATATATATATATATATATATATATATATATATATCAAAATGTTAACTTAATTTACCAGACTTGTCTATGGAGGATCAACATTTCCAGCAAGTCTTAATTTTAAAATCAAAATATATTACAAGAAGGGGATTAATTAGTGAATATGTCCCAGAACTTTTCTCCCTGACTTCTGTTAAAACACTGATTCACATAACAGAGACAGATTTCAGTGGCAGATGCGTTTTAATTTTATTCCCATCTGTGCTTAAATTTTAGCACATCTGCTAATTAGGCAAGATGCCTCATCAAAAAACCAACAAATTATTCCACCTTTTTTAGTATAAACCACGTAATTTCTTAATTATAAGTAGTCCTATAAAGTTACACATCATGAGGCTCTGACCTGAAGGCTTTAACTTTCACGCCTGCTGCTAGACGTGACTTGCCCGACTCTTTCAGGCCTCTCTCTGCCAGAGGCAACCTTTTCTCCACCTCTTGTGTCATCCGATCAGACCTATAATTTAGGAATGAAACAAGTAATCCTGTAGCTTTCTTATTATTCTAGCAGAAACAGAACATGCAAGCTTTGCTGCAATGCTCCTTGCATTCATGTTATGACAGCAGCAGTTTGGATTAATGCTTAAACCTGTCTGCTCCAGGTATGAGCTTTCGTTAAAGGCTGCACAAGTGAGGGAGGTAGGTATTGTTGGAAAGGTGCACACCATGTCCTTCCTGACCATGCGGCACACCCATTCCTTGCCTTGCAGATACTGAGAAGAAGATTTGAGATTTGAACCAAAGATTAACAGACAGGTGAGCATGAGGAGGTTTTTCAAAGCCCACAGAGTTGAGGATTACAGTCAGATCCAGTACCTGACCGCCAAATGCACCCGCCTGACTCATGAAAAGGGTAAGTTATGCATATCAAGATTAAACTAAAAATTGTCTACTCAGCTTATTGACCTACTTTACTTTCCATCTTCTTGTGCTTTTTTCATAATCTTGTGCATTATAAAACCTTTGTGAAACACAAGGAAGTGAATAAGTACTACATTAGCAACTGTTGTTAGATCCTAAAAGCAAAAAGAAAATGGACAATTATTTATTTTTTTTTATTTTAGAGTTTAAGAACTGGAAGTGAAAAGTAAAATAAGTTAAAAAAAAATTAAGGAAGTGTAATTAGCATTAAATTTGAAGTGAAGGATTTTTTTGCCTTGGAGGTAATGATGCAGCTAAATATTAATGCTTGGATCATTATCCTTTTTTGCTTTTAACTCTTTATTTGCTTTGACATCTTATATCTTGCAGAAATAATACATGTAATGTTAGTTATAACAAGATGACTGATTTTCTCTGTTATATTTGAACAAAAGCGACACACTTGTATGTACTGTAAAGTATTTAAAATGTATTTAAAATAAGAGTCTGATTTATGTTTTATTTTTAACTAAAACTGAGATGTCATGTGAAAAAAAACGTTTGGGTGACTTGTAGGGTGAAACTAAATAAAGAGTAAATTCTCTTACATAAAGAAAAAGTCTAGAATGAATACAAGGCAAACAATTTCTTTCTAAAATTTTTTTTTTTTTGTAGAAAAAATGTTCCTTGATCCTTTATGATGAAAAGTATTTTGTTAAGAATACTTTACGATAAGAAAGCTATCACTCTCTGAAGAGTTAGCTGTATTTTAGTTCTCTGTTAAGCTTTCCTAACTAAGTTTCACAATAGCGCTCCATCAACACCCTTTACAAGACCAGATCAGATTTATTTTTAAGAATTTATAAACAATTCACTCCACTCATGAAGAGAGATTTGAATTAATTAGGTTTAAATTAAACTATTTTCCAATGCACCCTTCTTATTACCAGCCTGGGTTCTTGCCTATTGTTTTCAAAGAGCTCATTCATGGTCAAAAACACATGCGGAAAATGAGCATTCACTCACTGCACATAACTTTCTTAACACCTCTACAGCCCTGAAATCTGGTTAAATCCATTTGGCATTTAGATTGACGTTTGTTTAAAACCAATAAACCCACATTTAGTTTAATGCAAACTGTTAAAACAGAATCTGTTTGAAGAATCACACCTGACTGCTTTAAGTTGCTGACTTAGCAGGAACATAAAGCAGCCTTGAAGCATTAAACAAGAATGTCTCTTCACATTTTAATCCCAGTCTTGCTTTTCATCACCTCTATCTTTAAGTTTTTAATTTGACTAAATCTACAGACCATCTGTAGGTGTTCGTCCTGACCGTGCTGTGGTCTATCTTTTGCTACAGCAGTGTTGGAAAGAGAATTTCTGGTTTCCAGAGAGAGGGAGAGGAAGCTGCAGAATGAGATGGAAGCCGTTACTGCTCGTCTCCTCCAGCAGGAGGCACTAAACTTGGAGCTTAGTATAAACCAGGACCAGCTCATCAACCGGATCCATCAGCAGCGGGTAGGTTTTCTATGATCGATCAGAGCAGGTTGATCATTCTGGATTTAGCAATGGATAAAGCAACCATAGTTAAATAGAGCAACAAACAACCTTAGGATTAAGTTTAGACCAAATTCAATTATTCATTAATAGAGCGCCAATTCACAACACGTCATCTCAAGGCACTTTAGAAAGAGAATACTGTCAGATTGGTTAGGGAAACCAGTGGATTTAATCCAGCCTGGATGAGTCTGCAGTGACGACCTTTGCTTGCATTTTGTCATTGTCTCTAGAGCAATCCCTTACACCAAGGGTGCTTTCAGTGACAGTGGAGAGGAAAACTCCCCTTTAACGGAAGAAACCTCCAGCAGAACTAGGCTCAGTGTGAGCAGCCATCCGCCGAGGCCGACTGGAGACATAAGCAGACATAGAAAAAGAGCAGAGATACAAAAGGCAAATGTTAACTAGCTCCATAGGTGGCAATGTCCTGGAAATACACAGTCAGGCAGATGAACTTCGAGCCATTTCTGTTGGTCACGGTAAAAGAAACAGGACTACACTGAAAAACAGGTCAGCTCCAACATCTACATATAAACAAAGGTGTTGATGGCAGCAGCACAACTGATATTTGTCTCCAGGATGGTGTCACAGCCAAATAGGAACAGACCAGATGAAGCTACTATGATGAGAAAAAGCAGAGAGAGCATAAAGTTATTAGTGGAACTTAGAAAGTTAAGAGTCGTCCAGGTTTTTATGTCTTCAAGACCAGAGATGGGAAGTAACGAAGTACAAATACTTCGTTACTGTACTCAAGTAGATTTTTCTGATATTTTTACTTTACTTTACTACTAATTTTTATGGCGACTTTTTACTTCTACTCCTTACATTTTTACACAAATATCTGTACTTTCTACTCCTTACATTTAAAAAAATTGGCTCGTTACTTTAGTTTTGAATCATTTCAATGGAGTTACCGTTATTATTTTTCATGTCATCAATACCAAATTCAATCTAATTGGATGGGAATCTACGTTGCATTTGACGCACCACTACAAGATGAATCGACAGATTCGGCGGTATTCATTGGCGGCAAATCATTGCAGCTTGGTGGCGGTGGCGTTAGCATAGTAGCATGGACGACGAGATGATTGAGATGATTGTACTTTTGCCATCTCTGTTCAAGACATGCCTGTAGTCCATGTAATGGGTTAGTTTCATCTGGATTTATAGACAGATATAGCTGGGTATCATCAGCATAGCAGTGGAATTTAATCCTATGCTGTCTAATAATTGGGAGCATAAATATATAGTAAAGAGAATTGGTCCCACTGATCCCTGATCCCATAACAGACCTGTATTTGTGGACAAAGGTGTTTAGTTTGAAGAAGAAAATTTGTGGAAAACTTTTCAGGTAGCCTTTTTGAAAATATTACCGTAAATACTAATTTAGTGAGGAAATTGTTACTATAAAAAATAATTTGTGTTTCAAATTGTTTAGAGGTGTAATTTAAACACCTGCCTAAGCTGAACCTATGACTGGGTCTGTCATTTTGAAGAGGTTAATGCTATAAAATCTAGTTGTAGTTTGCACTGGATGGATAGATTACAGAGATCAATGTCTGAACCAAAGGCAGATAAATATTAATGCATATTATTATCTGGATATTGAACCTCAAAATGCTTTACTAGAAAATTCCAGAATATTAACTCCATATTTCCCAGGAAATAAGACAACTTAAGATTCCTCTTACATAGTTTTATATCACTTCCTAAATTTGTTGAAACTCTATTTTCAATCAAACCTCTGTTGAATAAGAGATCTATGTGAACAATTCAAGACGTGAATCTGTTAAGGAAGGTGCTGCAGTAACGAGGGCTACTCATGTCCCTCTGTCTTCCTTGCAGAACGTGGTGGAGGCCCTGCAGCAACGTCTGGTCTTGCTGGCTGGGGAGAATCGTCGGGATGGGGAGCTGCTGCAGCAGGTCATCTCAGAGCTGCTGTGTCTGCAAAGCTCTGAGGTGAAGCTGGAGGGCCTGGTGGAGGAGCTGCATGCTGAGGCCCAGCATCGAGCAGCACTGGCAGACAGCCTGCATGCAGAGCTGCACAGGTAGACCCATTTCACCTTTTGTTATTTCTTTATCTTAAATGTGATCGATCATCGCTTCAAGGAAACAATCTAAAAAAAATACAAATAAGGAAAAATGGTTATAAGTGGTTTTATTTTATGTTTTTGAGAAATAGTGTTACTTTTTCATATCCTTAGTTGCAGAACTTTATTATTTTATTGAGGTTTTCTAAACATTGATATTTTTCGGCATTGATTTTAGCAAATTTCTTTATGTTACTTTTGCTGTTTAAAACATTAGAGAGAAGCACTTCCACCAAGTGGAAACTGAAATTAAATAAAGCTGGAAATCAGACGCTTCAAAATCTACAGTCTTTAAATTATCTTTATTTTTTCAAATGAGTACAACATTCGATTAAGACATAAAATAACATAAAAAACAACTTATTAACGTATAACCTTATAACCTAATTCCTGCATGGACTCTAACTTTCATTTTGTGGTATTTTTTCATATAATGGTACCTTTAAGAATATAGATGGTAGAGACACTATTTCCATGTTGAATCTTTGATTCGCAGCTGGTGAGGATGAGGATGTTCTAAAAGCACAACTAAAAGACGAATGACCCAGATGGATGTTAGACGCTGGGTCTTAACATTTCCTCTGCTGCTGGCCTTTCTGATGCAAAGTATTTTTTCCAAGATCAGCGGCAAGAATTCAACTAAGATTAGATTAATCACACAAAACTTGATCATTTAGCACAATATTAAATATTAAAGACAATACCTTAATTTAAACCCCTGATTGAGGTACAGTAGAGCTGTCATGTCATTCAGACGTCTTCTTTGGTACCTGTTTGGTGTGTCACATTGGACACTGTTGTAGCTGCTTAGCATTTATGCCACAGATGTGGCTTATCTGCTCTACCCTTCTTTTTTATGAACTTTCTGCTGTGGTGATTTTTCATGTTATTTGGTCATGTAGAGTCTCTAAAAGTCTGATTGTGATATCACATGTACAATTCCACAAGAGTGTTGAAATCTTTGAGAAGTGTCCAGTTCCAAGATTAACAAAGCAGTGATTTCCACTGTCCTGCATGTTTAATATGCATGTGGTTCAGAGAATCTTGATCAAATGATTGAATTACCCAATCGGCAGCCAGATATCCCACAGTTATTTAAGTCAGGTGTACAGGGGGAGGGAAACACATTAAGCATGCTGAGGACTGAAGCTGAAAACCTCTGTATGAAACGCTGTCTCAGAGCTTCAGGGGGGACATTATGACCCAAACCTATCAGACATCAATGTTCCTGCAACTGTTCAAGACAAATCTAAAAGGTGCAGGATGCTGGACCTCAGGGAACCCTGTTCTAGTTTATTGCGATCTTGCGGTGTTTAGGGCAAGAACATAATATATTATATCTGCAGCCTTTGCTTCTTCACTAGAAAACAAAACAACATCTGCAAACGAAAACGACATTGGTCCATAACTGCTTTCATTTAAAAAAGCTTACCCTTGAATGTGACAGGATTCCATTGGTAACAACACTGAGAAGGAACAGAGACAAGATAACATTCAACGTCTGTTTTTTTGTTCAGCTCATAGTTCCTTTTATTACAGGGTCCAAATAAGGACAGTCACAGAGAAAGGCCCAGTCCCATTCCTCTCACTTGGCTCTTAGAACACTCCAGCGAGTTCCCTCCATAGTGAAGTCCATTCAATGAGCAAAGTGCAAGTCAACATTTTCTCCCTAAGAAATGGGACACCACTAGTTGCAAAATTACATGCCAGCCCAGTAGATGGCGGTAATACATTGCCTGTACACATCAGTGGCGTGTTCATCTAAAACACGGCGTGAGTCACAACCTTTGCTGAATGAGTTCTGGCAAGCTACTACATTCCAAGTCAGCACTTGACCACCCTTGGTCCAAAGGGGTCATTTTAAGGGTTGCTAGCTTCCCCTAACTCTTAAAAATATAGGGACACACGTGAATGCGCAAAAGCGAGAGCTTGGGCCCAAAACGATTGCAAGTGATAGAAATGAGACAGGGCCAAAGTCTGTTTCCAATAACTGTTTGGTTTTTTCTTCCACCCGATGGTCAGAGATGTGGTTAGAGCTTCTTAATCCGGGGCAAGAAACCAGTTGGTTCCTGCCTGCAGTTTTACTCACTTATGGAGCCGTGACCGAAAACCCCTTTAGAAAGACGGCTCTGACAATGGACGACAGTCTGATTTAGCTCAGCCTATTATACTCTCTGTTATCCCTTCAAGTAAACAATAATAAACTTGTACATAAATTTTCTGACAGAATATCATTGTTAATATACTGCCATGGCAATAATTTTTATGTGTAACAAAACTAGAAAGCAACTTACTAATGAGAATTTTTCATAAAAAAAATAAATAAATGCTTGGCTACCATAAGATATGTTGAAAGGCAAAAAAGGTAAATTCATCAAATGTCTCTAACAAATTGTGAAACAACTCCTCTCCCCCCTTGCTAAGATTTTTGCAATCATATAGATCTGTGTGTTTGTGTCTTTTTATGACAGTAAAATAGTGCAGCTGAAGGAGCTGCAGGATGCCAACAGCAGTTTGACAGAGGAGCTGAGGAAACTTCACAGAACTCATCAGGCGGAGGTGAGATAAGAATATTGAAAGTCTTTTTCATTGGAAGCAAAAAAATAAGAGAAATTCATTTGGTTGTAAAATCCAGAACTTTGCTGTTCTTCACACTGAGTTTAAGTATACTTTATTACATGAATTATGACTTTTTTTGACAAAGGATGTTTAAGATTTGTGTAAAGGGGCTGCAATACCATTTTACTCCAACAGATGTCAGAATAGGGACACGTGTTGCAACAGTTCAGTTGGTCCTTTTCTCAATAAAACAACAAGAACAGATCTTACACGGTTTTACAGTTAATTTGGACTCTTTTTTTTTCTCCACAAGCAGCTTTTAGATGTAAAATAATTACAATGAAACAAATATGATCTGAGTCAAATTTAAACCACAGACACATTCTTTAAACTGTCAAGACCTAACTGGTGTTAGGTTTTCTTTAGTTCATCTGTGTTATGGAAAACCATGTGGATTTATTGTCTTTATTACTTACTGTGAGCTTCAAAGTTTAACCGCCATGCTGGCCTCGGCTTTAACCAGTCCATCAAGCAGCTAAAATCAGGTTATACAATTAAATTTCCTCTGAGACGTCGGCATATGGCCAGAGGAAAGGCGGAGCAGACCACAACATCAGTGAAAACTTAATGAGACGATTTATTAGCAGGAGATCAAGCCAGGAAGTTATTGCAAAAGGCCTGGGAATTGAAGATTGTGTCACACTCCTCCGTTTTCCCACTCATCTTTCTACATGAAAAGTCTTTCCTGTAATCTATATTTGCATTCTACAATCACTGCTTCCTGAGTTTGTTGTCGCTGTCACATCCTGGTATTAGGGCAAATAAAGTGATGACACCTGTCTGTTTATTATTCATTTCTGTTTAAGGTGAAAGAACTGCAGCAGGAAAATAAGGGAAGCCTGAGTAAACTACAAGAGACAGCAGATCAATTTGAGTGGCTTTGTCAGCAACAGAAGTACTGGATGCGCTGTGTCAAAAGGTGGGATTGTATACATGAACTACACAAGGACGTCCATACAGCCAAACCCTGGATTCACAGATCATTTTAATTCATATTTCTAAGACAAGATGCTAAAAATCTTATATCAGTTTATGAATATATCTATCTAAAGAAGTCAAATTTAAAAATAAACCATTATCAGATTACTTCAACTACAGTATAGGAAAAAAATGCTTCAGTGTTCATTTGTTTATAGAAACATTGTGAAAGTTAGCTCTAGCTTATACATGTTAATCACTTTTTTAGGTAAAATTCAGCACTTGACTTGTATCAATGCCCGTTGTGGGCAAAAATACTTTATGGAAGCCTGAGTTCCCCTCACACACAAAAGAAAACTAAGCTAAATACTGCTGTCATTTAACAAAACAGATAAGACCCTTACCTGATCAGATATATTTTGCTACCCTGGTGTGGGATTTACTATAGAGGTATGAATGATTCCTTGTCCTTACAAGGAACTCTATGAGTTCTCAATCCTGGGTCTGCTATCAGATTGTAAGGATGTTTCCAAATCGTGCAAATCGGTAAGGACGGCTTATTTATAGATCACCATTTCACAACAGGTCATCTTAAGGCACAGAAGCAATACAGTGAAATTGGTTAAACGTTTCTATCAAGGAAAACCAGCTGAATGCATCGAGTCATCGACTTCCAGGGTGTCCCCGATCAATGCAGCGACCACAGAGAGCTGACAGGAGACTGATCCAGGTCAGAACAGGACAGTTCTGAGATCCTGGAGTCATCATCTTGAATAGGAGTTCCGATCCACACAGGAGCAAACAGAAAGGGGGTTCCAGGAATGCACTGAGTGTTCAGGCTGGTTCAGAGTTCTAGAGAGTCCAGTAATGTGTTCTCACAGATATGCTGAGTTACAGACAGGCGGACCGAGATGCAGATAGGCAGGCACAGAGGGTAAGCGACAGAGACAAGACATGGTACCGGGATTTCAGCAGGAAATCTTTAAACTGGTCTCATCCTGGGATCCAGGCTTATGGGAATACAACTGAAGCTCTCTGCGTTTCGAGCCAAAACCCTGAGGGCTCCGCAGAGAAGGACCAGGTCCCGATCAGGAGACAAGACAAACACAAAAACCCTCTCAATCCTCTACCCGCCAGGAACCAGGACATGAACCATGGAATAAACTAAACTACCAAAACAGACAGACTAGCAGTCATAAACAAACAGACAGCAAACAAGCAATGATCTGCCTCGGGAGCTGGGCTGGACCGAATATAAAGGAACAGATGCAGGTGGATGAGATGGGTAATAATTAGAGACTAGGCACAGTTAGGCAGATGAGAGCACTGGCGTAACTTTCTAAAGGACTGGTGTGGACATGTCCCCACCAACTTAGGCATGAAGGGGACAGTCCCCACCAATAATTTCCGTTTTTGTTCCCCTTTTTGCTAATTTAATTTATCCAACAGTAACTGGGGTTGGGTGCTGCTGTCTGTGTTCAGAGCGTTTTCAGTCCATGTTTTTTCCTCGCTCTCCCGCTGCTCTCCAGTCCCACCTCTCGGTAAACTTCATCGGATTCGTCGCTTTGGGACATAATAATATTTTTGGTCGCTATTGACTGCGTACAGAGTAGGAAGAGGGGAGGGAGGAGGAGAGACACAGCAGCAGCACTCTGTGAACTTTAACTGGAATCTACTTCGATATATGTTGAAGTAAAATTTAGGAGACGGGTTGGTTAAAAAAAATTAGAGATTCCACCGAAAAATTTGTTTGTTACACATACAGAGCTTTTTTAGCTAAAAATGGCAACAGAGTGTACATTTATATAAGTAAAAAAAAAGCTGGGCTTCTCAGACGACCATTACCCAGATTTACAGATTAAAATTAATACATGTCTGTTGTTTTCTTATTGAACAGAGAATCAGACTGCAGAGCTTCTAGAAATCCTGAAAATGATTTTCTCTGGCATAATTATATTGGTAGACAGGTTCATAAATCTGATTTTAAACAGAGCAGACACACAATTAGGGACAGCTGCTGATTTAAAGGTGAAACAGATTTACTGGGATATGCAACATGCAATAAAATATATCTCCAAGTTTAAAAGAAAAAATACACTATGCTATAATAAAATTCAACTTATCTTTTTGTCTTTTGTAATTCAGCAATATTCAGAAATAGCTGTGCCAGAGACAGCCAGACTCACAGGACATAGACTTAATTAAAATATAAGAAACATACAAGAATTAAAGCACATATAATAAAAATCAGTGTATAAATGATTTTTGAAATATAAGGTTCAATATATAAGTATATATAAGTCTGGTGTGCTATTGCTTGGTTGGAAAGAAAACCTGCAGCCACACTGCCCTTTCTGGAACCAGTTTGACACCCCTGCCTTAGAGCGTCCCCTCCAACTTTTATCATTAAGTTACACCCTTGAATGAGTGAAATAAAGAATTAAGGCCAGCTCATGACACCCATGTCAGACGGTGAAAGAGAGCACATAGTTAGTCACAGTCAGAGAAACAGGGCAACACTGAAAAACAGGCAGAGCTCAAACATCTATAAACAGTGATGTTGATAGCAGCAACTATTGTTTTCTGCTTAAACTTTCCATTAACATTTTCAGAAACCCAGTGAGTTTCTAATTTAAATCACAAAGCTAATCTCTTTATAGTTGATTTATTTTACTTTGTTACATGATTTAACATTACTATAAGCGCATTTTAAATGGTCGTTTATTCAACTACGGTAATTTCTATCAACTGAAGATTGGCGGAATGTTGTTTCTTATGCTGCAGGTTCAAAGACTGTCTGATAGAAGAGAGACAGACTCTGCTGCATCAGGTCAACATGTTGGAAAAGAAAATTGTGGAACAGAAGAAGAACTCGACTGATATCAGTCCAGAACAAAGCCTCTTGTGCCCTCTAGTGGATAAAGAGATGTACAACAGGTGGGTGACATAAAAACAACAACAATCAAAAAAAGAAACAAACAAAAGAGAAAAAAAACACCAACCCAGATTCCTTATACCATGTGTAAACAATTTTTTTTCTTCAGTATAACATCACTGGCTGCAGATGCAGTGACAGACCTTGGGTCTCAGGCAGAGAGGTCAGAAATGTTGCAACCCTTCGCACAGGTAAATTGTTCACATCTTTGAAAGTGAAATGCTCCTGCTGTCTTAACAATAATCTTCTTAATATCTGAAGAAAAGCTGATTTATCCTCTGTTTCCATTAATTTTGTCACATGGTATTATCTTAAAAACCCCAATATATGTTAAGGTTTTTCAATAAATATAGATTTTAATTACACATTTCACATTTGTAGGTAGTGAACTAGGGTTGTTGAGAAGCTAAATTGTTAACCTCAACTCTGATTTAACTTTAAATTATCATGTGGAGGGACCAACAATCATTTGGTGTGACCATTGCAGAGAGCTTTGCATGATAGATATAGGTCCTAAATATTTATAGTTATCATGTTATTTGATTTGTGATTTCTATAAATTACTACTACTTTAAGTTATTTTGGAATCATTGGATGTTTTGTTTGTTTTTGCCAAATTCCCTTTTTTCCCCAAATATTTTGTTTACAGATGGCATAATTTATTCACAATACCAGACAATATAAAAATAGATATTACTATGGGCATGTAATGGCATCAACTAATTGGTTATAGGTATTTATACATTTATTATTAATTTATCACATTTTAATAATGACCCACTTCTAGTTTTACAGGTTTGAGCAATTACAGGGTTTTCAAATTTAGAAATTATCCTGCCAACCCTCAAAAGATCTTCACAGAGGCAAACATAAAGAAAGAAATGACTGTATGACAGGGCTGCACACTGGGGCAGTGGGTAACACTGCTGCTTTGCAGCAAGAAGGTTTGAAGTTTGATTCCCTGCCCGGGGTCTTTCAGCATGGAGATGGTATGTTCTCCCTGTGCATGAATTGGTTTCTCCGGCCTCTCTGGAGTCCCGTCCCACAGTCCAAAAATAAGACTCATAGGTTAAGTGGCATCTTTAAATTCTCCTGAGGTGTGAGTGTGGGCGTGAATGATTGTTTTGATGTATATATTCAACTTGTAACTCATGTAACTTTCCTGCAGAGGTGGATCATCATGGTCCAGAAAGTTAAATATCTGCCAATGAGCATCAAGCAGCCAAGGTTCACGACACCCCAGCCCAACCCTGCTCTATAGATCCTATGAAAGGCTAAGACTCACTAGAAGTGACGTCTTCTTGCGTGATATCCAATCTCTGACGTTGCTTCAAAGCACAGAGGCTATTTGGGATTTTGCATAGAGACTGACAGGAAGTGTCCTGCTGTTCCAGAGCATAGGGGAGATTGCGTCTGTAGGCCTGTAAGTCTGAGAGCAGAATAAACAGCTGATTAATATTTTAGCTCAAATTTAATGCCTTTTAATGTCTGCATTTCTGAGGTTTATGCATGTTGCATATTTATGCATAGTGCATATTGGAACAGTTATTTAATGAAATTTACAGGGGAGTGTGTTCAAATATTTATTTTCTTCACTGCATCTCCAGGATTTTGGGACACCAAAGCAAACCTTGGCTGTGTCCGCCCTAACCCTTAAATTCCTCAATCACTATATAAAGCGGGGACTATTTGGTTGACTTTATAGTGAACCCAGATAACTTGTCGTTTGAACAGATCTTCAATACTTTTTGCTCCCTGTAGCTGTAGGTCACTTAACTCCGCCTCCCTGCACGGTGGCTGCACCATCTTTATTTTTTGTTTCTGCTACAACAAATCACATGATGCTTTCTGAGGAGAACTCTTGCAAGCAATCTGGGATATATCTGCTGGTCTAGTAAGCATGGATGACCACTACTTTTCAAGATGCATTGTGGGAAATTTTGAGTCCCCTACTTTTTCATCCACTAGATGTTTGGACACTCATCTAATCACTACATATTGCCCTATATAGTGATTAGGGCGGACCTTCGTACACTGCCCTTGCTATTGTGTTGGCTCCTTGCTGCCCAGGGATCGGAGGTCAACTTATTATCTGTGCAAGTGAAACACATTTAAAGGAAAAAATAACTGCTTAAAAGTGATAGCTGCTAGTTTAACTCCTCCTGGCTAGTAAAATTGTCTCTTAGTTTGCTTCCTTCATCTGTTTTTTGTTTTTGGCTTGAATCTGAAAAATGGCAAGAATAGGCAATTTCTCTGCTTTCTCATGGAGCTTTTAGGATGTAGCAAGTCCTAATCCCCATTAAAAGTGACTTTAGTCTGTTATTTCCATTGGTGCAGAATCGTTTTGTGTTGACATTGGCATCATAACCAGAAGTAAATATTTGTATGTGTTTTGAAACCATCAAAATGTATGAAACAGATATTTATAAACTTAATTTGTTTTCAGTAAAATTGCTGCACCATTCCAGATATTCTGTGGATGTATTATTATTAATTAAATTGTATAAAGTAAATTGTAGCTATGATTTCTTTTTTAGTGACTCGCTAGGTCATCCATATGGTAAATCTATAATAATAAGGTGATGAAAAAAATAAGACCCACAACTGAGAACATTTAAATAGTCGATTTCCTCTTATAAACGTTTTAGCCATTTTAGCCATCAACAAGCAGAACTCTGAAGAAACTCATCTGACCTGTATGCACTCAAAAGAAAACTAAAGCAAAACAAACATTATTTCCACAGAATATGCAACTATCAATTTGTTTTTTATGAAGAACATGAAGCAGCTTTTCGTCATTACAAAAGAATACTTTCAGCGGTCAGCTTAATCTTTCCAGATCTTTCAGATTAGTTAAAATTTCAGAGTTGAACCATGAATTTATAACTAATCTTTATCTGATGGTGACTTCCAGTCCCCTGTGGACTTGTAGTTCCGCCAGAACACTCTTAAAATGAAAACTTAATGGGCACCAGAGTCAAATGACTATTTTATTATTTTTTTTCCTGTTTGTCCAATGCTCGCTTTAAAATGTTTGAGGGCTGAGTTTAAAAGCTGTTTTGCAATCAAGCCGGAAACCCCACAAAGTCCCAAAACTCTTCCAGAAAGCTTCTACAGATCCTGAGAGGACCTCAAACACTTCATCCTACTGCAGAGTTTTATGTTGAAAGGTGTTTGCTGGCTGCTCTAGGGATTATATAATAAAAGCCACCCTGTCTCCTTATGACGTGTTCAGTGTTTTAAACATTTGGGATGAGAGGAAGCCTCTAAGAGTGAACAGAAGGCTAATACTCCTTTGTTGACTGCTGTCTGTCCCTTTGGAGGCTGTTGGGCTTCCAGAAATGTCAGAGACGGCTAATTCTCCCTTGGCATCGGAGTCTCGTTGTGCCTTCTCTCTGTCTGTCTGCTGCCTGCACAGGGCCTCCTACCAATCTGCTTCCAAGGCAGCACAGAGATGACTAATAATGACTGGAGGAGGTGCTCGCCAAAAGCCTCTGTGCTTCATTCCCCTCACCTCGCTCAGGCTCTGCACTGCATTTCTTGGGATAATTATTCTGATTGAGAGCAGATGATGCAGACTGTTTTTTCCCCCCTTCGATCCCTGCAGAGCTGAGAGAGGGCGGAAATTTCTCTGGAGGAGCAGGGACTGTCAGAAATATGGAGGAAACAGCCACGATAAAACACATTACCAGCTCTGACATGATTTATGGAAACCGCAGATTCACATTGTCTGGACACGACTGAAGCCCCGTTCAGACACTGGCTGCTTTACATTAACTTATTAACAGCTGAAGTTGTTGGGGTCGTGTTTGAATTACCCCCTGGAGCTTTTCCATAAAATCCAGGCCTGAGCCACATGCAAACACTCCAATTTTTGGTTCCTTAAAGTGAATATTCTTTAAAAAAAATACAACCAGGCCGAAGAATGCTGTTAACTCCATCTTTGGCAGCTATGAAAGGACTGATGGTTTTGGTTAGTAGTGCCAGATTGTGTAATGCCATCTCTGAGGTTTGTTGTGACAATATTTGCTTGTCTGGCATGCATGGAGCTCGACTGTGTCTGAGAACTGTTAGGGAGACAGATTTGTTTTGAAGGATAACCTGTTTTTTTCATATAAAATCCTTCTGAAATTGTATTTTATTCATGTTTTATTATTTTTTGGGGACATTCTTACCCCTTTTCATTCCCTTTTATTGTGAGGATACCCATGGGAACTTGACTAGTGTGTATGCTCATTCATGTGGATGTAGTGTTAGCTACATTAGCAGTTTGCCATCATTTCCCGGTCTATTACATAATAGTTAATAATGGAAGCAGCAACACTCACCAACTATTTGCAGTTGAGTCATTGACTGCTGGAATTTCTCCGTTCGGTGGAATAAAAACGGTACTAAAGAAAGCATGGTGAGCTAAAGTTAGCATCCTATGAATGAGGTTAATCAAGGAGCAGGACCAAAATTATGCTTTGTTAAAAGCTTCACTCTTTGTGGGCTTGAACAAGGAGACCACACAAAAAAAACCAAGCTACTTTCCTAGTGGATTGTCCGGTAGGTTTTAACTGAAGCCCAACACCAAACGGGACAGGTGTGATTAATCATATTTTATCTGGGGTTTCAACAATCATAAAAATTAAATGATCAATTATCATTAGCCAAACTGTACACTAAAGTGCCCTCTTAGGAGCCAAACTATGCACTAGAGTATCCTCTTAGGAGCCAAAACACATGGAAATGTGCCCTCTTGGGAGCCAAACTTTGCACTAGAGTTTCATTTTAGGAGCCATAATGTGTGCTAATGTGCCATATTGTGAGCTTAAATGTACTAAAGTGTCCTCTCAGGAGCCAAACTACTCATAAAAGTGCCCTCTTAGGAGCCAAAATGTGTGTAAAAGTGCCCACTTGTGAGCTTAAATATGCTAAAGTGTCCTCTCAGGAGCCAAACTGCTCATGAAAGTGCCCTCTTAGGAACCAAAACGTGCAATAAAGTGCCCTCTTAGGAGCCAAACCATGCACTAATGTGCCCTCTTAGGAGCAAAAATGTGCATCCAAGTGTCCTCTCCAGAGCCAAACTAAGAACTAGAGGTTCCTTTTAGGAGCCAAAATGCGTGCTAATGTGCCCTCTTGTGAGTTTAAACATGCTGAAGGGCCCACCTAGGAACCAAAATGCATGGTAAAGTGCCCGCTTGGGAGCCACACCATTCACTAATGTCCCCTTTTGGGAGCCAAACGATTCATTAATGTGCCCTGTTAGGAGCCAAAATGCACTTCAAAGTGCCCTCTCTGGAACCAAACTGCGTTAAAGTCTCCTCTTAGGAACCAAACCGTGCAGTAATGTGCCCTCTTAGGAGCCAAAATGCACGTCAAAGTGCCCTCTCTGGAACCGAAAGTGCCCTATTGTGAGTTTAAATGTGCTAAAATATCCCCTCAGGAGCCAAACTACTCAGGAAAATGCCCTCTTAGGAGCCAAAATGCATTCTAAAGTGCCCTCTAGTGAGTTAAAATGTACTAAAGGGCCCTCTTAGGATCCAAAATGGACGTCAAAGTGCGAGATAAAGTGCCCTCTCAGGAACAAAAAGCTATGTCGTGCCCTCTACATTGATGATGATGCGCCATATATGCCTTTTTATTTTTTTTCCACCCCTAAAAAGTTTGTGCAGGTCCCTGGTCAAATGTGATCTGGCAGTGCTCATTCACACTGTTAACATGTTGGTCAGATGGCTATAGTGGCTTACTACTTAACTAAGTAGTTATTTTTTAAATATAAACTATAATATCAAAGCAAATAATTACTAGTTAAACTAACTACACAGTCACATTTAGATAACTAAAGAGTTAGATAACCTTACTGTTACTGAAACTTAAAATACATCTAAAAGTTTAAAAATATAAGATTTTTTAAATTAAAAAAGCAATTAAGGGGACCACATCTCTTAAACATTGTATACTAATCTGAAACATTTTGGGTGTGTGGTTGGACAAGTGAGAAGCAATATAATTATGTAGATATCATCATGTTCTTTGTTTTGAATACAACTGTCATGAAGCAGAACAGAAGGAGCCAGTATTCAAGGCAAGACAGACAGTGGGATAAGTCAAAGCGAGTTGGCTGTGGATTTGCGGTATCAGCCGCTAGGGCATTTATCACTGAAGCTCTGATGGAGAGAAACACAGGTTGTGACCATGATAATCTGAAAAAGGATGAATATGCATTTGAGTCACTGACCTGGTTTACCAGTTCAGTCCATCGCCAGAGAACGAGGTAGGATCCAGCTGACAGGATGCCGTGGGTGTCGCCTAGAGTGTCCCAGATGCTACAGCCCTGGAGAATATGCAGGAGTCCACAACGAGGTCAGGGAAACAGATCAGAACAGGAAGGCTCAGGGGTCAAGGAGTCCCACGCCAGGTCAGAAGACAAACAGGCTGGTTTAGCAGGTCCAGGAGTCGAAAAATAGTTCAGGCAACCCGTTCAGAGGGGAAGAGACAGACTCAGTGAGTCAGAGGCAGAACAGGTCAGGATCAGGAAATCAGAAAAACAATGGTACACTAAAACCACTCTCTCCACTGAGATCAGACAGCAACAGCATGCTCAGTGGATGAGAGGCAGAACAGGTCAGGAGCATGAAATCAGAAACAATAAGGTACGCTAAAAACCCCTCTCATAACTGGTCAGCGAGAAGAAGAACTAGAACAGTAATCTGGCCCTGATAGCTGGATACAAGTACCTTGAATAGAGACAGGAGCAGGTGGATCAGATGAGTGGTAATGAGCAACCGGGGAGAGTTAGACAGGTGAATTGAATGAGCAATTAAGCCAGCCATCAGTGCCAAGATCAAAACAAAAATAGCACACATTTTGCACATTGGGCCTTCAGCTGACTTTAAAATAGGTATGAAGCTAAAAAATAAAGCTTTCTAGGAAACTTAAAGAAACAAAATATTCTCTACAATATAATTAAACAGGTTTTATGCTATTCCTGGGGGGAAAAAAGTGGTGCTTTTTTTTATGAGTGCTGTCATTGAATCCATAGCTCTGCTCCATTGTCTCTCCTCCCAGTCTCTGTTCAAATCATGATGACCGCCTGCCCATTTCAGCCAATCAGCATCATGTATTAGCATCTAGCATCACTGCAGCACAGAGAGCAGCGCTTCCGAAAAGTCACGTTGATTGAGTTGTAGTAACATGCAGCATTAAACTGAGAGTAATGTAAGGGAGTTACCAATTTTTCAAAAGTAATTAATTAATGTCTTTTTTCAATAAAGGACTAACAAAGATGCTAAAACTGTTATTAAGTAACTCCAAATGCTGGTTGCCACACATCTTTAGACCCCCGCAGTGCTAAAGAGCACACCTAATTCACACATTGCACTATTAAAGAAGGGTTAGGTTATGAAACAATATCCTGAGCTCTAACAATCCAGTGAAGTGTATTCAATTCATCATCTGAAAATAAAAAGACTTTGGCACAAATACAAATCTACCAACAGATGTTCATTGATTCTAAACTGGATTCATGTAATATTAGAAGTAATCAAAGAAGGACATGATCACTTTTGATCTGCAGTTAAAAGATCTTGCCCACATGAAAAAAAAAGGCAAAAGAAAACTTTTTTTGAAAGAACACCAAGAAATCTGACAAGAAGTAAACTTGTGGAAGAAAGTGTCTGATCAGATGAAGCCAAAAAGTCACCCTGACCATTGCATCTCTATGCTGCAGCTTCTTGCATTTCTTCAGCTCTTTTACAATCTGTTGCAAGACCTTGTTTTTAAAGATCCTCTGTCCAATCTATGTGACCTTAATACATTTTTCTAGATTTTCTTTTATTCTCTTTCTCCAGCAATAGTTGCAGCTAAGGGTAAAAGGTGATAATATGTATTCAATCAACAGCTAATGACACTTTCCACATAATGACAGATGAAAACCATGTCTCAATTTTCCTGCCAATGTCTACTCATAAACAACAAAAAAGAGACACTCTCAAATTTAATATCTTTGATTTCCCTTTGGGAATAAGATAATATTTTTGAATTTAATTTAAATAATACATGTTCATGTTCATTTTGTTGGTCTGTTTTATAAAATGCCTATAATATTTATTGAAACTGGCAGTTTGTAAAATGTCAAAATGTGACGGACTTCAAGGTGAATTAACTCTTTTGCAAGTTGTTGTTCCTTAATGGGATTTTAAGGCATAATTTTAATGAATAACCAAAAAGACAAAAAAAAAAACACAATCTGTTCTTATGTTGTTTTATAGTTCCTTGGATTTCTTTAACATTGGAAATCTGGTCTGAAGATTTGTAGTACTAAACCATGTTGATTTAACCCCTCCACCACTCCTATGAGTAGTTTATCACTGTTTTCTTTATTTCATAGATCTCCTGGTCTCTTTTCTACATCCAGGTGGTCTGAAGCCTATCTTCTCTGTGAGATATCACTTTAAACGCCAGAATAGAAAGAGCTGAATTAGTCTTAATTTCCAGTTTAAACAGTGACTCTACATTAATCATTTTATTTGAGTTTATCTGACCAGAACAGTTTTCCTGGAGGATCTTTATCAATAGAACTAACACATCTCCTGCTTATTGCCTTTTGTCATCCTTACTCAAAGTTTATTTTTCTGTCTGCAGGCAGGGAGCCCTATCAGCAGATATCAGAAACCTCCATGAGAACTTCAGTGAGACGGCCTCTGCACTTGTCTGATTGTTTCCCACCTTCAGCAAACCTGAAGTTTAACAACTATAAGTTTGTGTGTCTGGCCTTGAGGGCTGCCTTCCAGCCTTTGTTTTTGAAGAAACCAAACAAGGCATGGAAAAACATAACCTGCAAAACCACACATTCATTGTTTTCCCTCCACTATTGTTCAGTGATTTATGGTTCAGTAAAAGAACAAACAAACAAAAAAAAAAAACATAAATAAAACCCATTTATTGAGCTCCTGCCCCCCCCCCTCCCATATGCGCATCACATGTGCCTACATTTGTCTGGTCTCATTTTTCCAGTAATTGTCCATTTTTCAGAACCTTGTAATCAGCGCTGCTAATAAGTGCACCTGAGAATGTTCTCTTTTGTTGTTTGGCCCATAAATCCTCAGCTGGCGCACAGAGGAAACAAACAAACATGTTGTTTTCACCACAGTAAAGCTCCACCACTGTTTCATCACTGGTTTGGGACAGTTTTTCCTTCTCCCTGTCACTCGGGTTCCTCTTGTGGGCAATTATCAGAAACTCTGTAAAGTAATCTGGTGCAGAGCAGCAGCAACTCATGTGTGAACCATATGATGAGCAAATGATGTCAAAGAGAAAACCCTGTTCAAGAGAAAAAAAAATGTTGTTTCTCATCTGCCTCTAAGAAAGTGATCAAGCTTTGCCATGTATAGCGTTACTTGTATTTTGAGCGTTTTTTTCATTTCTGTAAACATATGGACCTAAAATTCCTCTGAATTGAATTAGTTTAAGAATAAAAACTCTATGAGCCCAAATGAAACAAATAAGATACTTCCCTTCTTTTGCTTTGTTTTACAGAAAAATGAAAACATGTTTACTTCCTACTTTTGGGTGCTTGATTACTGCAAGGTTCTCTGCAACTTTTCCATCATTGTTGGCATCCCTGGTCAAGAGGATGCAAAAAAACATCAAATTAAATCAGCCATATATATATATATATATATATATATATATATATATATATATATATATATATATATATACATCAGTAGCATAATGTAACTTTTAAATTCATTAGAAATATTCATAATCATTAAAATATAAATGAAGAAATAATTCCTCTATTTTTAAGGAAATTATCCTTGACATTCCTTTTAAAATAGATTAGGTCTGACCATTTTATACATTTACACTTTGCCTACATTGTTAGTTATTAAGACTGTCTATGAACTTTTAATTACTAACCAATAAATACTGTATGTGTCACCAAGGTTCATTTCTTTTTAAACATTCTCTAATATGGGACGGACAGGATAATGTGACATTCAAGTGATGTCATCAACTGCAAAGTATGGTTTTCTCAAATGAGTGCAACAATAAGCTTTTTGGCAATGGTTCTGGAAACAGTGACTCTTCATGCTCATTGTTAGGTATGGTTGAGGAACTGTGGTGATGTGGGCCTGTTTCCCTTCCAAAAATGTTTGAAACATTTTCTCTCTCAGTGTTCTCGTAGTTTTTCAATTCAAAGCAGTTTATTCTTATAGAGCAGCCCGCTGATACGCAATTGGATGGGTTAAATGCAGATGTAAAATTATCCAGTGTGAGATCAATAAAGTTAAATTATTATTATTATATACTGGCAATTTACAAAATACGTTCTCTCAAGGCACCTTGCAGAGACAATTTAAATCAATCCTACAGACAAATTGGTTAAATGTAACCTGGCATAAGCAAGATTTATATGTGTCGTTCAATTTGAATTCTACACAGCATCCATCTGTAAAAGGTTCCTGTGGAAAAGGTTATCAAAAGGGAGGGACATTTTGTACAATCTTTAAGCCGATTGGGTAAATCACCAAGTGGCAGCCTCCCGACTTGTTGACGCTATTACTTCATGCACACCATTGCATTTTACTGGTCTGCAACATTTCTGTATTGAGGCTAAGGCACCTGTTGGCTTCTTGCAAGATGGATTTTCAGGAGTTTGGGAATCCACAAATGTTGTAACAGTTTATCTTGCTTGCAAGGTAAGGTTAAAAGTCCTCTATCAAACAAAACCCAGCTGACTGCATCCAGTCATTTAGTTAGCAATGACCTAGCAGGATAACACATTGCATTTTGTCGTTGACTCTGCAAATCGCTTAAACCAAGCATGCATACATACAGTGGAGAGGGAAAAACTACCTTTAAAAACCAATAAACCTCCAGCAGAACCCGGCTCAGTGGGACATAGCTGTTTACACAAACTAATATTCTTTACTCTTTCAGCTTATAACATATCATATAATTATTTGATATATGGTAAACAACAAAATGAATGTCAACAGAAAATGTATCTTTAATGTATTATCAAAAATTTAAAGTCCTCCCAGCCAATAAGTGGCACACTTGTGCTCACCTGCTCTCCTTCTATACTGCTTACAAGTCAGTTCTGCTAATGCTCATAGTTATTCCAAAAAAACCCCAAAACAATCCATTGGACTTTGTTTCCAAGTTTGAAGACGTTTTGCTTTCAAATTAAGGAAGCTTTCACAATTCATTCAATCCATATGTTGCTGGAGTCTCTGTAAAAGTCAACAGGATTTTCTCCAAACACAAAATCCCAGTACATTTCGAACCAAACAAGACCCTTAATCAGAGACTAGTGCGTCCTAAAGATAATATGGCCAGACCAAATAGGAGCGAAGTAGTGTATGCAGTTCATTGCAGTGAGAAATGCTCTGATCTTTATATTGGAGAAACCAAACAACCTCTCCACAGATGCATGGCCCAACACAGAAGAGCTACTGTACGTCCTCCAGACAAGACTCGGCAGTACATCTACACCTTATAGACAAAGGATATTCTTTTGAGGACCAAAATTTTCACATTTTGGACAAAGGAGTGGTGGTTTGAGAGGGGTGTGAAAGAAGCATTCTTTGTTAAGAAATAAAAAAAACAACCTTAAACAGACGGACTCAGGTTTCAGCTTTCAAAAACCTACAATGCAGCGATAGAGCTGATTCCTTCCCGCTATCATCGCAACCCCCACACCCATACAGGGGACCAGAACATCTCGCCTGTTCAGCAGGGCCAACAATTCCCCCTAACGACGACCTTACAGAGGCATAGACCAGTATTGGGTATTGCAGGCCAACATAGAACCCAAACGATTCCCCATTCCTAAGGGGCGGACCCGTTCAGTTCTATTCAATTCAACTATCATGTTTTATATGCAAAAACAAGACTTTGTTTAAGATCCACTGTTTAAAGCCTCAAACTCAACGCTAATTCTGAAATTTGGAATGGAAAAAACTTCCTGGATGGAAAGCGAAACGTCTTCAAACTTGGAAACAAAGTCCAGTGGATTTTTTTTTTTAAACTTTTTTGGAATAACCAAACTAAACAGTTAACTTACCCAATTAGAAAAAAAAGCAGAAACCTCCACATGAAGGAGGTTTAAACTCAGCCCCTTTCTGTCATTAAGTCAGCACCAACAGTTAAAAGCTTGGCTGATGTTCACTCTTGTTTTGTTTCTTTTTGAAGAAGTCATTTCTCAGCTCTTTTACAGAGCTATTAGGATCTGGCAACGCCTGAGCTCTGTCCCACATGACTTTAATCTACTATTCGTATTTGAGCAGAATCGTTTTATGTTGAAGTTGACATCATAACCAGATGTCAACAATTCAGATGTCATAACCAGAATTAAATATTTATATTTTTTGGACCTGTTCATTTCTAAAATAATTCTTCATTAACAGTTTTTTTTTCAGTAAAATAAATAATTTCAATGTGCACAATTCTAGATTTTCTGTTGATGTAATATTTTTGAAAAATGAATCTTTTTGATAAATAAGTTGTAGCTATGATCCTTAAGCTCATGCTGTGTTTTCAAACACTTGTGAATAGAATATCATCCTCTTGATCTTTCTGATTTCTTTTTTTCCCCTTTGATAAGAAAGCTGCATGTTTAATTGTATTTAATATGTGGCAGTATCTGTATTTGGTTTCCAAATAGCATAAATATGCCCTAAGAGTCTGATAACACTCATTGTGAGAAAACAGGAGTAAGCACACTACGGCTCAAGGTTTGCAGACTCTACAGCTTGTCTGGTCTGGAAGGTGTGCCCCCGGATCTTTGGTAGCACCCCCTGACCACAGGGGACATCGGTGGCACCGGCAGCAGCGCGCCCTCTGACTGCAAAGTGCTTAAACAGTCTGACCCAAATGGGCTGTGAAGGTCTGAGGTGTAGCAGGAGATTAACAACGTGTGCTGGCTGGAAACAGTTCGTGTTTGCACACAGTAAATACTATCGCACCCTTTGCCACAGAACGAGACTCAGACATTATAGGTGTTATTAATAGAATGATTATGGTACTGCAAGAATAGCATGTTTATGTCCCGGCTTCGTCACAGCCAGGGAAAACACGTTACCGACATTTAACACCAGGATATACCCATAAAAAAGGGAGACTTGTTAAAGTGGTGACTAGCAGACACGTCTGTCCACTTGCTTGTATAAACATGGATTATGTGGTGCAACCTTAGGCACTCCAGATTTTACTGTATGTTGACTGTAAGAAAATCAAATGAGCTTATCATGGGTTCAGTTACTGGGAATAGAAATAAAAAAAGGTATAAGTTTAATCACATTTAGAGAAAATGTCCTCCTCTACACCACAAGTTATTGGCTTGGATTTTGAATCAATAGACAAAATGTTTACAGAAGTGTATTTCAAATTAAATTCAATTAAATTAAAATTGTCATTATTAAAGGAAAAAAAATAGTTAGAAAGCTTCTCCAAATTCAGTGCAAACAGATCAAAGATTGCTACCATCTTGATTAGATGAATCTTCAGTTCAGCTAAGTTAAAACGTGTTCATTTCATGTCAATCCTGAGTACATCTGTTTGATCAGATTGATAACTTGGAGTAGTTTCCCTTAATCTCTGTAATTGAAAAATAAAATAAACTTCTTTGTTCCATAATTCAGAACAGAGGGAGAAGGTTCAGATTTCCGTTTGAGGCTGTTTGGATCGGTGTCTAAATGTTTAACAGTGTCCTGGGTAAACATACAAGTGTTAGGTGTTGAGGTTTATAAGGAGGGGGGGTCTGAACTGTACTCATAAAAGAAAACCTGAAAATATCCTAACAACATTAAACTCAATGCAATCTCACAAAGTTGAGTTAAGAAGTTTTAACTGATATACAAGTTTTAGCCCAGAATGTTCTTATTATCAAATTAAAGCAAGGAATTTAATAATATCTGTCAAAAACTCCTTTATATTT